GGAGCGCCCTTGATCGGCGGCACTGGCCGGAGGCCACTACAATATGAACTCACAAGTAGGATGGACATTGGGTCAAAATCATATGCGTTTTACATCGGTTCCCGGGGGGGATAAGTCCGGGGGGGGGAGGGTGGTAGAGCCTTCTTTATCAAAGAAAAGGACAATCTAAGAGGTGCACTCTATGTGGTGTAAAGTATGTGGTGCAATCCACCTTGACTGTCTTGAATATGTCCTCTCCACTGCTCGTGCAAACATCCCACCCTCCCACCCGCAACTTGGTCGCAAGACCTCTTAAGAACGTGACGGTAAGTACCAAATGGCACTTGGCAGCGAAACCGGCGCCGACGACCACAGCGACAACGACGACGACGACGCCGACGACGACGACTGCGACGACACCGACGACGACTCCGACGACACCGACGACGACGACACCGACGACGACTCCAAAGACGACGCCGACGACGACGACGACACCGACGACGACGCCGACGACGAAAAAACGACTACGACGACGACGACGCCGACGGCGACGACGACGCCAGCGACAAAGACGAAGACGACGACGACGACGTCGCCAAAGAAGACGACGACGACGACGACAACGAGGGAGGAGGGAGGACGACGACGGCGACAACGACGACAACGACGAGGGAGGAGGGAGGACGGCGACGACGCGAACGACGAAGAAGGAGGGAGGACGGCGACGCCGACGACGACAACGAAGAGGGAGGTGAGAAGACGACGACGACGGCGACGAAATAGGCGGGACGACGACGACGACGCCGACGACGGACGACGACGACGACGAGGGAAGAGGAAGGACGATTACGGCGACAACGACGACGGAAACGACGACGACGCCAAGGAGGACGACGACGACGACGACGACGAGGAAAGACAGAGGACGACGACGGCGACGACAATGACGACGACGAGGATGGAGGACGGCGACGACGACGACGACGACGACGCAAGAGCGCGCGCGCACGCTTTTGTTGAAAGCCCGTGTTGCGAAGCCATATGTTTTTGTATGTTGTTGGACACTCGATTTTGAAATCATTCCGAAACCGAGGGTTTTTGAAGGATTTCGGCATGCGCGCGCGACAACGCGCGCGCGCACTTCGTCACATTTTTTGCAAGGAGGATTCTCGCGACGGCTCCCGCGCAAGGACGTTCGAACAATTTCGACATGCGCGCGCGCAGCCCCTTTGGTAGCATTTTCTGAAGATCTTGAAAAACCAGAATGGTTGTCGTAAGATTGCGCAAGGGCGCGCGGAAAATCCGTGTTGCGAAACCCTGTTTTTTATATGCGTTCTGGACACTCGATTTGGAAACCCGTCCGAAACCGAAGGTTATTGAAGGGTTCCAGCATGCGCGCGCGACGACTCGCGCGTGCGCACTTCGTCCTTTTTTTTTGCCAGGGATTCTTGGAAGCTTTTGATTGTTTACAAACGAGAGCGCGCGCATGGCGCTTCTTGCAGAGGATGGCGGGGGGGGCGATGCCGGCCTGGCTGGGATTGTACGAATTCATATTTAGGATGGACGAGGGGGCAGAATCATATTCAATCGCAATACGGAAAGGGGGACCGTTAACTCGGGGGGGGTAGAGTCTATTCTTCTTTTAGAAAGGAGAATCTATGTGGTGCGGGAAACGTGGTGTAATGAGTACGTTGCGTTCTATGTGGTACACAGTCTATGTGAAACAATAAAGGTGCAACCGATGGGGGGTGAGCTGTATGGTGCAATATCGGTTAATCCATATGAGCATCAGTGGTGTAATGTATGCACTGCAACCGGTGCTGAACAGTGAAAAACCATACTAAGCATTGCGAAGCGAGGCACAGCAACGCAATGCAATGCCCAACAATGCAATGCAATTCAACCAATTGTAGACTGGAACGAAACACAGCATAGTAATGCAACGCAATACACATCAATATAACGCAATGCAGCGCAATGCGATCGAAACAAGTGTGTGTGTGCTACGCAATGACGCGACGCAATGCAGCGCAACGAAATACAAAGCTACGCAGAGCTATGCCAAGCAATGCTATGCAATGCTATGGAAAACAACGCGAAGCAGTGAGAAGCAGCGGGGGTCAATGCAGAACGCTGCCACGTAATGCAACGCGAAGCATTGTAAAGCAACGAAGCAATGCACAACTCTGCAAGCCAATGTAAAGCAGCGCGAAGCAACGCAAAGAAAGCCACACAACGCCATGCGATGCAATGCGAAGTAACCAACGCAATGCCAAGTTACACAGGCCCAGACGGCGACGGGCGGCGACGGCGACCGGAGGGAGGACGGCGACGGGCGACGGCGACGGGCAGGCACAGAGGGACGAGCCTGCGACGGCGATCACATAACTAGCCGTCAGGCCGACGGGCAGGCCCAGAAGACGGGCGGCGACGGAGCGGCGACGGCGACCAAATAGCCGCACTGCCCACGGACAGGCCCAGTTCTTTAGAAGGGATAGAGCGCGTTTGACGGGCGCTCGCCTTGGGAACATTCGGCGGCGCGTTTCGAACCAGGGGTGGGGGGCCCCCCAACAGCCAGCCCCAACAGCCAGCGCCGTCGATCAGAATCAAGGGGGGCTCCTCCCTCCTAACCCCCCCTCTCCCCAAACACCCCCGCTCCCCCACCCCCCTTCCGGGGGAGGGGGGGTTCAAACCACCCCCTCCCCTGGCGCCGGCGCCGGCAGCACCGGCGGCGGCCAGCAGCGCCGACGGCGGGGACGCAGCGACGATGACAGAGAGTACCCAGAGGCCGCAAAGGGGAAACACAAATTGCCACATCGACCCTTCGCCCCCAAAAAGCCACCGAGAGGCCCTTTGGAAGGTCCAGGAGGCTTCACAAATGCTCCTCAGACGCCCCCGAAACCCCTCTGACGAGACCTCAAGAGGCATCCACTAGAACTCTGACCCAGAGCCAAAACACGGTGGCGGGAAGACCCGAAGGCCACACCACCACCACCACAAAAAAACACCACACCACCACAACCACCACCACCACCACTACCAACACGACAACCACCACAACCCACCACTACCACAGTCACCACCATCACCACAAACCAAAACACCACAATCACCGAAAACTCCGCCACCACCAGCACCACCACCACCACCACAAACCACCACAACCACAACCACCACCGCCACAAACCAGCACACCAGCAGCACCACCATCACAACCACTGCCAACACCACCACCACACCCCACCACCACCACCACAGTACCACCACCGCAAACCACCACCACCACAACCACCACCATCACAGCACCACCACCACCACCACCCACCACCACAACCCACCACCACCACCACGACAACACCACGACCACCACAACCACCACCACCACCACCCACCACCACCACCAGCAGCACCACCACCAACACCACAGCCCAGCACCACCACCACCACCACAAACAACCACGCCATCACCAACACCGTCGCCAACACCACTACCACCACCACAAACCACGACAACCCACCACCACCCACACCACAAACCACCACACAACCACCACCACCACAGCCACCACCACCACAACCCACCACCACCACAACAACAACCCAGCACCACTACCACCACCACCACCACAATCTACCAAACCACCACCACCACCACCACCGCACAACCATCACCACCATCACCACCACCACAAACCACCACCATCACCACCACCACCACCACCAAACCACCACACCAACACCACCACCACAAACCACCCCACAACCACCACAACCACCACCGCAAACCATGACACCAGCAGCAGCACCACCACCAGTGCCACAACCACCACCGCACCACCAGAACAACGTACCACCACCACCACCACCACCACCACCACCACCACAAACCACCACACCAGCGACACCACCACCCTCACCGCCACAACCACCACCGCACCACCAGAACAACCTACCACCACCAGCACCACCACCACCACCGCCACCGCCGCCACCTCCACCACCACCGCCACCAGTGCCACAACCACCACCTCCACAACCCACCACCACCACCGCCACCACCACCACCAAATACAACAAAAACCAGTGACACCACAACCACCACCACCACTGCCACCACCAGCACCACCACCACGACCCACCACCACCACCACCACAAATCACAACCACACCACCACCACCGCCACCACAATCACAAATTACCATCACAACAACCAACACGACAAACCACCACACCACAACCGCCACCACCACCACCAGCACCACAACTACCACCACCACCACCAGAAACCACCACACCACCATAAGCACCATCACCACCCACCACCACCACCATCACCACAACCACCACCACCACACCCACCAACCACCACCACCGCCACAACCACCACCACCAACACCACAGCGCACCATCACCACGACCTTAGAGGCCCCAAGAGACGCCCAAGAGGCGCCCTGGAGGCTTCACTAATGCCCTTCAAATGCCCCGAGATCGGCGGTGGACAAACCTCCCTTTAGTAAAGCACCCTTTAGTGAAAACGGCCTAGGACTGAAACCGATGGACCTGGACCCGCAAAAATGACGGCCGCGACGCCCTCTCGCGAACCGAAAATGGCCAATTCGCTAATCGACGTGTCAGGGTAATAGGAGGTCTGTCCACCCCCGACCAGAACCCTCCGACGAGACCCCAAGAGGCATTCATAAGGACTTTGACCCAACACCAAGACACGGTGGTGGAGCGTCGTCGTTGTCGTCGTCATCGTCGTCGCCGTCGTCCTTTTCGACGCTCCCCGCCGCCACCGTCAGCCGCCGCAGGCGCCGGCGCCGGCCCAGAAAAGAAAGTCGTCGTCTTCATCGACGCTCCCCGCCGCGGCCGCCAGCCTCCGCCCGCCGCCGACGCCAGCGCCGGCGCCGGCCCGAGGAGAGGGAGAGAAGAGAAGTACAAGGAGAGGAGAGTAAAGGGGGGGGGGTCCGGTTCCAGACCCCCCCCCCCTTCTACGCGTCCACAGAGCGCGCTCTTTCTTAGAAGTTAAGCAAGAACAAATGGAAACGCTGTGGGGAACAAAAGAGACACGCCTCTCGACTCACCCTCCTGCGCTGGCGAGGGACAGCGATTGACAAATATCCGGCGGCCAGATACACAAGATCGAGACGGCTGCCGTCCCCAGTTCTGGGAACGCTGGAGGCCGGGCTTGTGCGGGGAAAGACTGCCCCAAGGCAAGGCTGTGAAAGTCGGAGATACAAAAAAAAGCCGTCGGATGTCTGCTGCGGCGGACGACGAAAGTAATGGCGATGATGGTGGTCACCCATGTTGTGAGACAGGTCCGATTTGCGCGGCAGCCGCACTGCGCCCGGTCGGACTGTTGCGGGACTCCAGGATGCCCCCGTATGCACAAGACATCGTGCTGGAGCGATGCTAACGGGCTCACCGTCACCCCACTTTGTGGGATTCGCAGCAGTGGTGCCACGATGCCAAGCAAGAGTGCCCAAGTCAGGGTAGGGTTGCTTCGCAGCGTGGTGCCCTCAGGCGCCCATGGGAGAGTGCGGGATGTCGCTGTCCTCAGAGGGGACCAACAAATACGTTGTGTCGCGCCTAAACGGGAATGATGCCCAACAGCAAGCGTTACCCAAACCCAAGAGGGCAGGAGACGCTCGTCCCAGAAGGGCCACCGCCCGCGGAGACACTGACAGCGGGCCCTTCGCAGAATGGTTCGGAATTGCTATTGGTCTTTCCCCCCCGCCCCTCTCGGTCCTCCTCCATATGAGCATCGTTTATCCAACCCCAATCCCCAGCGGCGTGGCCTGGGCTCTCTGGCCGAGTTACCCCACTAGATGGGGATGTAGGCCGTTCCTCCGGGTTTCGAGGGGTGTAACCTCCAACTGGGGTTGTAATTTGGTGGGGGTCTCGAAGGGGATGAGGATGGGGATGGGGGTCGGTTAAATGATACTGACCATTGGCGACCAACAAATCCGCCCTCTAGACACCAAGCCCTGTCTCCGTGGCCCACCACCTTGGAGTTCAGAGCTGGAGGCAGCAGCCACATCCTCCACCGAGGAGGAGGAGTGGGTACACGCCTTCCATGGCCTGCGGGCCGCAGCCCCTGACCCAACCTGGAAGATAAAAAACTCGTCGGGCGTGGACGAACATGGCTCAGCGCAAAGCTGGCTCAGCCAATTCAGCAAAAACTGCGCTGCATGTTTAAACTGGGGTGTTTCCCAAACACAACTCAACTAATCTGCAAGACCACTCCAGGGCCGCGACCAGCTCCCAATCTAGCATCGCCCAAATGGCACACATCCAGCCTCCTTGCAAGATCCAGCGCTCTGGTTGACCCCCGTTGGCGCTGAGTCCCGTTACGTGAGCCCCGCTTCTAGCCGCCTTCGCGTCGCCAGTGCGGTGGGGGCGTGATGACAGCGGCGCACGGCTGCAGGCAGCAGCGGGGGCACGGATACACCAGGTCACCCGACGTCGCGCATCGCGCCTTGCGATGCGCGACACGCGCGGTGATCTTCGCGCCCTCGCGCCGCCGCGTTGGAGGAAGGCACCTTTCCAACCCAAGCCGCGATGCGCGAAGCGCGATTGTCTTCGCGCCCCTGGGGGCGACCTGGACAAAGCATCGTGGACCAGAAACCAAATGACACCGCCCCACCTACAACCCGGCGGTGTTGAGAGTTTAGGCACTTGCCCATCTACGACCCACCCACGACACCACCCCACCTACGACCCACCTGACACCCAGCAGGTGGTAGGCGAGGGGTGCCGATTTTCTCGGTCGAGCACCGATCGCCGACGGAACCTGAAAGCAGACGCCTCGGACGTCCGTGGCGTCTCTCCCGGCGGCGCTGGCGCCAGGCCCCGCTTCCTGGCACCCCTTTTTTCCGCTGGCGCTTCCGAAGCGCACCCGAAGCACCGCCGTGGGGCGGGCACGAGAAGCACGATGGGCCTGGGGATGCGGACAACACCACGCTGGACCTGGGGACGCGGAACAAGCACGCGAAGGACTGCGCATTTGAACCCCAACTCCAGGACCAGCGTCCCCAGCCTGGCGCTCATCTTTATCCTTGAGGTTGACAAGCCCCAAAACATGGCATCTTACGGATGCGCCCTCAGAACCTGAGGGGATCAGTGAGATCGGCATTGGCACAAGGCGATGCCAATCAGAAGGATAGGGATATGGTTCAAGCTGGTAATGGCGAGCTGTGTGTTCCGCATCCCCTCCGTAGCCATTTTGGCTCAAGCTCATGCCATCTCGGCTCGAGGTGGCTTGCGCTGCCCGGGCGCCCGCGCGGCGGGCGGGGCCGGGGGCGGCGCGCGCGGGGCGCGCCACGCATGTACGGGGAAAGCTGCTGGTCCGTCTCCCCCAACCTCTCTGACGGCTGGGCCTGGGCGTGCTGGTGGGAGCCAGTCCGGCTCGTCACGACGCCAGTGCCCCCCGCCCCAGGGGTCTGGCTCGTGGGGGCCAGCGTCGGGGCCGGGGCAGCCGCGGCACCCGCTGCGCCCGCACTGGCGGAGGCGGCCGCAGCTGGCGGAGCGCGCGGCGCGGGAGGCAACATCTG